AGCCCTCAAGTTGTTCAAAGCTTAACAGGGGAGAGAGATATAAAAAGAATTGTATAACAAAGCAGAGAGGCAGTCTATACTGTGGTATCTTTAGGGAGAAGGACATTATGGGCGAGACAAAAAAAGTGGTGACACTGCAAGAGATCAATTTATTACTATTTTTAGAGAGGGAGAGAGAGAGAAAGGGGGTAGGAGGGACAGAGGGAGAGGGAGAGAGAATCTTAAGCAGGCTCCATGTCCAGCGTGGAGCCCAACATGGGGCTCGATTTCACAACACTGAGATCATGACCTCAACCGAAATCAAGAGTTGGATGCTTAACCAACTGAGACACCCAGGCACCCCTCCAAGAGATCAAAATAGCCTGTCAATCTTGAAAAAGAACAAACTTGGGAGGACTCATACTTCCTGATTTTAAAGGTTGCCACAAAGCTACAATAATCAAAACAGTGTGGTACTGGCATAAAGACAGACATATAGATCAATGGAATATAACTGAAAGTCCAGAAATAAACCTATGGATCTATGGTCAACTGATTTTTGACAAGAGTGTCAAGACCATCCAATGGGTAAAGAACAGTCTTTTCAACAAACGGTACAGGGATGTCTGTATATCTACATGCAAAGGAATCAAGTTGACACCATATACAAAAGTTAACTCAAAATGGATTGAAGGCCCAAATGTAAGAGATAAAGCTATAAAAAGCTTAGAAGAAAATACAGGTGTAAGTTTTTGTAATTCTGGATTAGGCAATGGTGTCTTAAATATGACACCAAAAGTACAAGCACCAAAAGAAAAAATATAAAAATTGGACTTCAACAAAACTAGAACTTTAGTGTTTCAAAGGTCATAGTCAAGTGAAGACAACCCACAGAAAGGGAGAACATATTTGCAAATCATATATCTGATAAAGGGTCTAGTATTCAGACTATAAAAGAACTTTTACAACTCCACAAAAAGACAACCCAATTCAAAAATGGGTAAAGATTTCTTTTTTTTTTTAAGATTTTATTTATTTATTTGAGAGCGAGTGAGAGAGAGAGAAAGGGAGCAAACAAGCATGAGCTGGGTGAGGGGCAAAGGGAGAAGCAGGCTTCCCGCTGAGCAGGGAGCCCGATGCGGGGCTTGATCCCAGAACTCGAGGATCGTGACCTGAGCCGAAGGCAGATGCCTCACCAACTGCGCCACCCAGCCGCCCCAAAAATGGGCAAAGATTTCAAGTGACATTTCTTCAAAGAAGATACATGGGTGGCCAATAAGCACATGAAAAGATGCTCAACGTCTGAGTCATCAAAGAAATACAAATACAAACTAAAAGCACAATGAGATAGAATGCCTATAATTTAAAAAAAGGAAATAGAAAAAATTAGAGGAAATGGTGAGGAAATAGAAAAATTAGAACCCTTGTACATTGCTAGTGGGAATGTAAAATGGTGTAGCTACTCATGGAAAACATTTTGGCAGTTCCTCAAAATGTTAAGCATAGAGCTACCACATGATACATGTGGTATATATGTGAGAATTGAAAACATATCCACACAAAAACCCGTACATAAATATTCACAGTATTATTCATAATAGTTAAAAAGTGGACACAACCTAAACGTCCATCAGCTGATGAATGGATAAACAAAATGTGGTATATCCACACAATAGACTATTATTCGGCCAGAAAAAGGGAGGAAGTACTGATACATGGATGAACATTAAAAACATTAGGCTAAGTGAAGAAAGCCAGTCACAAATGGCCACATACTGTATGACTCCATTTATGTGATCTGTCCAGAATAGGCACACCCACAGAGACAGACAGTAGATTAGTGACTGTCAGGGAAACGAGAAGTGAGTGCTAATGAGTAGGTTTCTTTTTTTGGTGTGATGAAGATGTTCTGGAATTAGCGGTGGTGGTTGCACAGTCTTGGGAACATACTAAAACCCACTGGATTATATACACTTTAAAAGGGTGAATTTTGTGGTATGTGAACTATACCTTAAAGTTTAAAAAGGGGGCAGATATTTTGAACTAGATCTTAAAGATTGGGCAGACAATAGTGGGAAGAGAATTCCAGGCAGAAAGAACAGAATGAGAAAAGGCATGGAGGCCTCCCAGAAGGTAATGCATTCAGGGAAGTAGAAGTGGCTCGGGGGCTGGAATATAGGTATATGCGCAGGAGTGGCGGAACTGACCAGGTGGCAAAGGGACAGAAAACGAAAGGCCTGCGTGCTGCCCAAGGAGGAGGTCATGGGGTGCCTTCAGAACAGGGTCTCTTCCCAGGAGAATGACCTAACTACATTGCTTGGCTCAACCCATTTTGCCAGAGAAGCCTCCTTTCATCAACTCAGAATCATCTAACAATTCCACTCCAAGTGGGCAAGCCCAACACTCATTTTCCTCACTATTTATAAAATCCATTTATTTACAGCATCAATTATTCAAAGTTTTCTCCCCATCAGAATAGAAACTCCTCAAGGGCAGCTAATCTCCTGTTTCCAATCCCGACTACATAAACGCAAGTACCGAGTCCTCTGTGAAACTGCAAAGCAGGGTAACGAGACTGGCAATTTCAACAAAGTTCTGAGCTTTCCTAACTTTATAAATCTCTGCTCATATCGTCATCCTGTTTGGAACGCCCTCCTACTCACAAATTCGTTCAAGACTTCACCATCCTTTGTGGTCTATTTCAAATGCTACTTTGTTAAGGCCTTCTTTGCTTCCCCACCTGATACAAAGAGAGGGATGAACTCTCTCCGCTTTTAAAGAGGGCATATTTTGTACTTTTCTTATGGTGTGATTTCCCCATACCTTATACTGCTGTTATTTGAGCACTCCTCTCATCTCACACATCTCTTACCCCACATTTTCTGGAATCTAAGCGCCTTGGGGTAAGGTCCATGTCTTTCCCAGCTTTGCAGCTCCCAGCACGGTGCTGGGTAGAATCTGAATTGAACTGTCCAACTAGTGGCAAAAATGATGGAATCAGAGACAAAAATAAGCACTCACTTCTCATTTCCCTGCAAAACAGAAGTTTTAAAAAATCCTAGAAGGAACTACACAAAACAGGACGCAGGCACAAATAACAGAGTGTATGTTGAATCAATCTGTGACCACTTGGCTTGTTTATATCTGGTCATTTTCATCACAAGGATTTCATTTCCCTAGAACTCCAGAGGACTCAGACAAAGAGTAATGGTCTCCCAGCTGCTGCGTTCCCTAGTCTGTGGTTTTCCTATGATATAAACAAAAGATTCTGGAGGTATGGTCTCTGTTAATATTTGCTGGTGTGGGTCTGGGGAAGAAACGGGTGGTGGTGGGGGGAGTGTGAGGGAAATCCACTGAGGAACTGACAGTTCATATAAGCAACACCTGGAGTGTTAAACTCCCCTACAACTGTTATTTTACTGGGGGAAAAAAATCCACTCTTCCTTTGGTAAATGTAAAATTCTTTTACCAGCTGCATTCCAATCTAAAGTGTGTGGCAGTTCAGGAGAGATGGCAGCTGGAACAGATCACATGTAGGATACAGTGAATGTTCACCAGCAGCTAGGGGATAATCAGAGCCCAAAGAATGAATCTTCAGAGCCGTGTTCCTTTAAGAAAATGGGTTAGCCTCAATTTGCCTGCTCATGTGCTACTCATAAACACCGAGAATACTGGAAATAACACATCCACATCTGATTGGTGGAAGGATCAACCTTTTGAATAGAAACTCTGTGACATCAGCTATTCAGGACTCCCCACTTAGCTTCATAAAACCCTGCAGCTTAAGTTTTGGTTTTCATCCTATTTTTGTTAAATATTTACAATCTACTACAAAACTAAATTCAGACCAAATGTGTGCTTACACAACCCTGTGACACGGCCACTCCTCCTGACAAGAGGGAAAGGGCACCAACACTGATTGGCACCAGGCCAGTCACTCCCTTCATGCTCCGTTTCCACAACACTGGGAGGCAGAGAGCTGCATTTCACATACTGATGAGTTCACTCGGGCCCACAGAGGTTAAGTTATTGCTCAACACCCCCAAAGGAACAATGAGGAGAGTTCAGTCCGTCTGACTCCAAAGCCAGTGTTTTTTCCACTGTACTCTGCTATTGGCCAGTATGCTCCAGAGAAGTTCTTTCTCCAGAGTTTGTAAGAATGCTACAAGAGCCTGATAACTCAAGAACAGGCATTGGCAAACTTTCTGTAAAGGGCCAGACAGTAAACATTTCAGGCTTTTTGAGCCATATGGTCTCATGACTTACTTACACATTAATTGTGTCTGCCACTGTAATACAAAAGCACCCACAGATAATATATACATGAATGAGCATAGCTGTGTTCCAATAAAACCTTATTTACAAAACCAAGGGGTAAGACTTGGGCTACAGGCTGTAGTTTGCTGACCCCTGCTCTAGAAATTCTAGAGTGGGCAGCTTCATGTTATTTGGATTAAAAAGTCAATAAAGAACTGCCCATTTCCAACTTAATTAATCAATAAACAAGAGAGTCTTCCATAGCCTGTATGGTCCATGCAATTCAGGAATTCACATTCTTTTAGGAAGAAAAGATACGGGCACATAAAAGCCAAATCGTAACACAAGGCAGCGTGTGCTCCAGAAGGGGACGGAGGCTGACTGAGGTGCCACCACATTAGGAAACCAAGGTTCACAACCTCATCAAATAATATTGTGCTCAGAAAGAGTCAGAAGTTACTGCTGTAAGCACTAACAAAAACACCCGTTCTGGTGAGACCACATTAAGGTTTTTAGCATGTGTCAGATACTAAACAAAGACATCTCCTGTAGACTTAACAAACACACCTGTTCCCTGTCTCATTCTCAGAGGACAAGCAATTGACGTAAAGCACAAGATAAACTCATCTCCTGGAGGCCTTCCGTTCTCTCCCAGCTGACACTTGAGGCAGTGAAGAACCCAAAGAAGCCACAGGCCAGGGCTGATAGCAACCACTTGGGGTCACTCTTGGAGGTCTAAGAAGAAGCACTTCCCAAAACCTCACCTTGCTCATGGCAGTCAGGGCAGGATCGCAGGCAGCATCCAGATCTTGAACCAACAACTGGATGCTGCTAGAGATGACACTGCAAATCAAACAAATGATGGTGGTCATCACTTCAAAGAAATAGCTTTTTGAACGACTAACACAGCCCCTGCCAAATCTTTTAGGCACCCATATCAAAATTGGATTCATCATTTCATCAGAAAAACTTGAGTTTGATTTCAAAAGGGAATGGATGACAATGAGGAGCATTTTGGCCCTTCATTCTTGCTGCATGTCCTGGTCTTATTTGGGTGTGTCCCCACTGAGTCAGGTCACAAAATTCCATGGCTAGTCTCCCTAATCACTCCACCCAGAATCCCTCCTTCACTTCTTACTCCTAAAGCACCTGTTTGCTCAAAATGTTTGAATCAGAACTTGAAAAAAAAAAAGTTGAGAAAAGGAGAGGAAATGACCTAAGAAGAGAATCTTGATGTTTCCTTAGTAAGGCCTACCCCAATCTCATTTACTGAACACAACAAAAATACCACAAGGCAACACCAGCGAAAGAACTATTTTGAGAAGGCTTTACAGTCTGAACTTCTTGGACAGACACTTTCCACCCCAACCACCCTCTCCACGCTTCCCCCCACCTCTGACCTGGCTAAAATCAAGCTGCTCACACTTTATGTTCTGAGACACTGAAGGAGGGGCTGGCCCTCTGTGGATTTGGGGTGGGGTGGGGAGTGGACAGGAGGCCTTGGACTTGACCTTCCTGTAGGGATGGTCAAGGTAGGATTTCTTCTCTTTGGTTATTCTAGATAGGGCAATAATAAAGACCCCGTAAGCTAAAAATGACTGCATCTGAGCAGGCCAAATGGGAGGCAGCCGCACTAGCTTCTAATGCTTCTTCTTACTGGCTACTGGAGAATAATCCTGATTCAACAGGGGGCCCTGGAAACCTCTTAGGTTCCTGGTGACCTAAAGCGGACAGCCTGAGACATGCTGCTTTTTGAGGGGTAAAGGGCAGGCCTTAAGCAAGTATGTGCAAGGTACATACGTGCTGAACGTATCCATTTCTCCAGTCAGATTGATTCGTTCAATCAGACTTACATCAACTTTTTCCTTGAGTTTTTCTTCTAGCTATTAAAAATAAGAGAGAAAAACATGCTTAACAATGATGCAAAGGAGTACCATCATAAGAATACTTAATATTTACTGAGTTTGATGATTCAGGTACAATTCCGGGCACTTTTCACATACTGATTCATTTAATTCTCACAACCCCATTAGGAAAATTCTATTATTATCTTTATTTTACAGAAGAGAAAATGGGAGGTGTGATAGTACGTGGTAGGGCCAGGAGTCAAACTTCCTCCAGAACCTGTGCCCTTTAGCACTGGGCTGCTGTACTTACCTCTTATGACACACTGACAATTCATTTCATTAATGTTAAAAAGACCCCAGTTTTCAAGATCCTCCCTGCTCCATGAACTGCAGGCTTACTTACTAGCACTGGAAGCCTCTGATGGTGTGTGACAGTAAAATCACTTAAAGAATTCAATGAGTGCTACAATGGGCCACCCACTATGTTAAGGTGTTGGGGATACAGAGGTAAACAAAAGAAACACAGTCTGCCCTCATCAGCCTACAGCCAAAGAGAGAAACACTGGCCATGCTCCCAGCCACCTCAAAGAAAAAGACAACTGACCAGGAATTGTAAACATCTCAAAGCATCCTGGGAATTGACTCACCCAGCACTCCCAAAGCTACTGATGACACAAACTCTTAAGAATAACGAGTGTTTTGTCTTAAATTAAAAAATGCTCTTAGGGGTGTGTAGATTAGTGTAACCTTTCAGAAGGCAATTTATTTAAAAAGCAGAAATTTAAATATACACACTCTTTAAAACAGCAATTTCACATCTAGAAATATACTTCAATGATAGTGATATACAAAGATCTGCAAGTATTCTTTGCAGCATTCATTAATTCAACCACAATTTTCAGAAAGCCTGTTTTGTGCCAGGCTCTGTAACAGAGTAGGTGAGTTACTCAGTGAACAAAACAGAGAAGATCCTCTTTGCATAAAGTTTACATTCTGGTCTTGTTTATGTTAGTGACAAAACTGGAAACAATCCACATATTTGTAGGGGACCGATGAAGCAAATCACAGTGAAGGCTTTCAATGCTTCAACTCTTCAGTGGCCTTTTCCTGTTAAACTAAAAATAAAATCCAAACTTTCTATGATTTCGGTCCTGCCTGGCTCTCCGGCTCACATCTTCTTTTCTCCTTGCCTGCTTGGCTTAACTTACTGCTATAACTTAGGGTTCGGGAACAAAGCAAGTTCATATATACCTTCTCAGGGCCTTCATACTTCACACTTCCTGAAACACTCCTTGCTCATCCCTCCGAACCAGCTCCCTTGCTTTGCTACCCCCCACCTCCCAATCCTTCCACACTCCTCACCTGGCAGTCTCCTTTGCTCACCCTCGGTCTCTGCTTCAATACCACCTCTCCGCAGAGATGCCCTCCCTTGACCAGCTACTTCAGTAGGCAACTCCCTAACTAGCACTCACCACAAAACTGAAGTTATATCTTGGCTCCTCCTTTAGTTCTAAGTTCCCTGACAGTAAGAAACTGTCTACTTTGTTCACTACCGTTAATTACCACGAAATATAGTGCCTGGTCCTTACCATAGTGCTTCCTAAAGATCTCTTGAATGAACAAATGCAACAACAGGTGTAACAGTGTTACAGAATTAATGAGTCGATATTGATACATTATTGGCATTGTTTTTTAAGTTTTTATTTTTCAATTCTTCACCGCCTGGATTCTTGTCTCTGGTTTCTCCCTCCATTTTTCTGCCCTCTTTCAAAGGAAACTGGATTGTTTGCTCTGTAGAATTTCCCATAGTTTGGATTTCGTTGATTGTACCCACGAGGTATTAATTAACATGTTCCTCTGTTCCTTGTATTTTCTATAAATTGTAGTTTGATGTAGAAGTTTGATCAGATTCAGGTTCTTCTCTCTCTTTTTTAGAAAACTATTTCACAATGCTGTTGTGTATTTTTATTTTAAGATTTTATTTATTTGTCAGAGAGAGAGAGAGAGAGAGAGAGAGAGAGCGAGAGAGAGCACAGCAGGGGGAGCGGCGAGGGGCAGAGGGAGAAGCAGGATCCCTGCTGAGCAAGGAGCCTGATGAGGGACTCGATCCCAGGAATCCCAGGACCCTGGGATCATGACCTGAGCCAAAGGCAGAGGCTCAACTGACTGAGCTACCCAGGCGTCCCAGTGTTGTGTATGTCTATCAGGAGATACATGATGCTTGACTCTTTTTTGTAATGTCAGCAGCCATTGATGGTCAATGCCCAGATCCATTATTTCATTAGGAGGTATAAAAGAATGATGTTCTAATTCTTTCCTTCATTAGCTAAAATTCTGCTATAAAGAGATATTTCCTGGGGCCCATGGGTGGCTCAGTCGGTCAAGCATCTGCCTTTGGCTCAGGTCATGATCCCAGGATCCTGGGATCGAGGCCCGCATCAGGCTCCCTGCTCCGTGGGATGCCTGCTTCTCCCTCTCCCACTCCCCCTGCTTTGTTCCTGTTCTTGCTATCTCTCTCTCTCTCAAATAAATAAAATCTTAAAAAAAAAAAAAGAACTTCCCTTTATTTACCAGTATTCAATTCATACCAGTGGTTCCTTAGTGTCTTTGAAGATAAGTGCACTAAAAAAAGAGAAATCATCACAACCACATGGATTTAAGCATATTTGATGTTTTCAATGCATTGCAGTTGACTTCTCATTGATGCTTATACATCCCATCTTTGACCAGCAGAGCTTATTTAGGTTGGCTTCTGTATTAGTTTCTTAGGCTGCTCTAACAAATTACTACAAACGTGGTGGCTCAAAACAAATTTATTCTTTCACCGTTCCAGAGGCCATAAGTCCAAAATCAAGGTGTTGGCAGGGTAGTTTCCTCCTGGAAGTTCTGAGAGAGAAGCTATTCCATGCCTGTCTTCTATCTTCTGGTTGTGGGCAATCTTTGGTGTTCCTTGGCTTACAGACACATCACTCCAATCCCTGCTTCTATCTTCATGTGGACTTCTTCCCTCTGTCTGTTAGATTTCCCTTTCCTTTCTAAGGACGCCAGTCATTGGATTTAGGGTTCACCCTAAACGCAAGATAATCTCTTCTTGAGATCCTAACTTAATTACAGCTTCGAAGACCCTAATTATGAATAGGGTCACATTTACAGGTATATCCTTTTGTACAATAAGCCCAGTATGACTCCTGAATCCTTCTGAAATGAGTCACCATCTTTGATATTTTTCTTGCTTTTTGCATGACATGATGCTCCAGGCTCATCATGTACATTTCCTGTCCCAGACCTGGAATTACTCAATTCTGAGGAATCTCTGGTTTCTTTTAGGGGAAAATGGTATTTAGAGATCACTATATAGGGGCTAAGAATGTACTGACTTTTATAATCAGTAAAAATAATCTTCACTAGGGATGCCTGGGTTGCTCAGTCAGTTTAAGCATCTGCCTTCAGCTCAGGTCATGATCCCAGGGTCCTGGGATCGAGTCCCACATCGGGCTCCTTGCTCAGTGGGGAGCCTGCTTCTCCCTCTGCCTGCCACTCCCCCTGCTTGTGCTCTCTCTCACTCTCTCTCTGACAAATAAATAAAATCCTAAAAAAAAAAAAAACTTCACTAAATAACAAAAAATTTGGCTACATCTATCATGAGTCATCAAAATGGTCTTTGATCTACTAGTACTTCCAGAACTTTAAGTATCTATTCTAGAAAAATGCAAAACATGTTAGATGTTCTTTAGAGGATTACTTCACTTTTTTTAATTTTTATTTTTTTTTAAAGATTTTATTTATTTGACGGAGAGAGAGAGAGAGAGAGAGCGCACAAGCAGGGGGAGGGGCAGGCAGCAGGAGAAGCAGGCTTCCCACCGGGCAGGGAGCCTGATGCAGGACTCGATCCCAGGACTCCAGGATCATGACCCGATTCTAAAGCAGATGCTTAACCAACTGAGCCACCTAGGCACCCCTGTAGGATTACTTTAGATGCAAAAACCTGAAACAGCATATATAATTATGAGGGGTACTGTGACATAATTTACGGTGTTATCCCTTAATGAAATAATACGTAACTATTAACAATGTTGGCAATAAAGATATTATAGCAACAGGAGAAATGCTAGTGCTGTGATGTTAATAAAAACAACAAAGGGATATGAGATTGAATTAAGTTAAGATTATAGCATACAAAACTATGTTCATGAAAAGGGACTGAAAGAAAATACTCCAAATTGCTAATATGATGGTGATGGGATTAAGTCATTATTTTAATGGTTTTTCCCCTTTGGTTCCATGGTTATTTTACTTTAATTTTTACTTTTTAAAATTAATTAATTAATTATTTACTTAGTTTACTTTTACTTTTATTTTTTAAAATACGCTATTTTATGTGTGTGTCTTCCTTTTCTGCACCCATGCAAAACAGTTAAATAGATAGTGTTTCTTCATCACTGAACTCTGGGACCTCTTGCCTTGGAGGTCCTCACAGATACTGCTGTCCTGCCCTGGGAGTTCTTGGGCTCAAGGGATTGCTGTCTCTGGCTCGAAGGCCAAACCTCTACAGATCATTCCCTGTGTGACTCAATGTGACCACGTCCCCAAACAGAGCATACTATTGCCTCTGGCTGGCTTAACCTCAACTGTGAAGTTCTGGGGGAAACACTTCTTATTTTGGCCTCTTGTAGTCTTGCTCTGGCTTACAGGCACTCCAAGCAGTACTGTCTGAACCATAATTTATGACTACCTTCCCATGATCCAGACATGTGTAAATAATAAACCCAAAAAGGGGGGAAGAGCACAACCTTCTCCAATTATTTTCCTTCTCTTGGCCTTAGGTGAATTCCAGACCAAATGTGAAAAGGAACTTCTAATCCCACGTCGAAGGCTAAATGGAAAATTCTTCTGGGTCTTCCTCCTGCTAATGGGGAGCTCCAGGAGAGGCATCACCCTTTCCTGCTGCATAGTTCCTGAACGTCAGCATCCAAACAATGGTTGTTTGTTTAGGCAGACTGAGGATGCTATGTACATTTCAGGAGACACATAAAAGCCCAAAGGATTTTGCTTAGCCTAGTTAACACTTCTGAGAATGGAATCACTGGTTGTGACTCATCACCACCAGAGGCCGGGTCCTAGCATCGTTAGGTTTGTCACTGCTTTTCCCATATGGGAGACAGTGCTACTGACCTACTTTCAAGAGGGCATGCCCTCTGAGTAGCTGAAACAACTCTGGGGAGGAGATCAGTCACACTTTCTTGCCCAGTCTCCTTTTAACAAGGCTCCTCTGTAAGATGGCTGGCTGGACCATCTTCTGGCTGGACAGCAAGTTTTCCTCTATGACCAACTGGTCTGCCCAAGGTTGTACATGGCTTGTGAAGGCCCACAATTTTACCTGCTGAGTCAAGAGGCCCAGATGGTTCAGGAAAAGGAGGCGGTGGGCAGCTCACCTGCTGGGTGGTGGCCAGACAGTACTCTGCTGTGCTTAGGATGCTGCAGATGAGGCAGAGCTCCTCTAGAGTGAACTTGGCTACTTCTGAGCCTTCCTTTTCCTTGAGGAGGCTGCTGATGGTCAGGCCTCCACTGCTGCTTGTGGTTCTGAGGAAAAGGAACAGGAACTGGTTAGGCTGGGACTTCTCATTTGCTTCCTGAACTGGTAACTGCACATCTTAAGACAAAGAAAAGGGGGAAGGAAAGGCTGGACATGGCCCAAACAAACCCACATACAATGAGCTTTTTCCTATTGACCTTACCTTGACTATCATCTGTTTAAGCTCTCTGACCATCAGGAGTAGGAAGAAACAATTCCAACAGTGAGCCAGTAATCAGTCACATTAACTATGAGGACTCTGATACTCACAGAGAAGGCTGCTGAGTGGCCTCTCTGCTTAGCTTAGCATTTCCTGATCTGAAGAGCTCAGTCAGGATCATCTGTAGCACAAAAGCTTGTTCCACAACTGTTTCAGGTAAGAAAATTCTGCACAGGCATTTGTGCAATGTGCTTGTGGAGGGGTACCAAAGTGAATGTTAAGACATGGTTCCTGCCCAAAGCCCCAGCTGCCTCACCCCTTTCTACTGATCTAATCATGTGTTCACAAAATGTACAAATAGTTATAAAACCTCCTACTCTTTCCATTGCGAGAGTCTAAATTTTTTTTTTTTAAAGATTTTTTATTTATTTATTTGACAGAAGGAGACAGCGAGAGGGAACACAAGCAGGAGGAGTGGGAGAGGGAAAAGCAGGCTTCCCGCCAAGCAGGGAGCCCGATGTGGGGCTCGATCCCAGCACCCTGGGATCATGACCTGAGCCGAAGGCAGACGCTTTAACGACTGAGCCACCCAGGCGCCTCGAGAGTCTAAATTTTTTTTAAAGAAGACAGAATTCAATGACACTTACCTTAAAAATAAAAATATTTAAAAAATAACCCTAACACTGCCCAGTCTTAATGGTAATCACAGATTTGACAAGATCTTCATTTCCAGCACTTACACGGGTGTAAGGATGCTGACAGTCTCTTGCACTATGGGTGAGGAGCATTAAGTTGTACAACCTTCCTGGAGGTATATTTCAGGAGCTTAAAAAACAAGTTCAAATTATCTGACCCAGTAGTTCTACTCCTGTTCAAGGATGCTTTTTTGAGTGTTATTTAAAATACTAAAAGAGTGAGCCCAACCTAAATGATCAATTAAGACAAAGATAAATAAGAAATTCAGAAGTTCAGTGAGGTTCTCCTGCATGCTGGATTATCATGACATCCTGAAAAGTGTTTTGAGGACGATGTACTGTCACAAGTGCTGAATGTTCTCTGTTGGCCTCCCAGATCCGTTCATTACCTTCTCTTCCCTTCTCTGCGGCTCAGGAGACTGACCTCTACAGACTTACCACTCTGGCTCCCAGGCCCTCTGGCCTCCTGCTGGGTTCAGTCAACAGGAGATGCGACAAGAAGTGGGAGAGGTAGAGGAGTGGGAAGTCTTGAGTCCTAACAAGGTCTCCCACTCCCTCTGCTTCCATGTGGTGTGGGCAGCGACTGTGGCCCTCCATTTTCTGTGTGGCAACCCTTCGTCCACAGCCCCGGCTCTCAAGTGAGTTTTAAAGTGGTAAGAATTTGGATGCTTCAGAATCCTCTGTTGGTTCCCTTCACCTTGCCCCCATTTCTGTGAATAGTTGCTTTGGTAACAATACCCTAGCTGAGCACACCATTTGTTTCCTGCTGTGACACATGGGGGGAAAATGCTCGCGGATGATGTTAAGTAAAAGCAGCAGGGTACAAAACTACAAGCAGTAGAGTCCCAATACTGTTAAACAAACGAAAGCAGAGAAGAACAGAAAACACATACTAAAAGGTTAAATTTGTTTTCTCTGGGTGGTGAGATTATAGCTGGCTTTTACTGTTGTCTTTCTGCTTTTCTGTGTTTTCTAAACTATAATAAACTTACATTATTTTGATGATCAGAATGTTTAAAAATTTTTTTATGATAGTCAAAGAAATTCTCATTGGTGAAATATATCTGTTACTTCAAATCTCTGGTTAGAGCATAGGAATTTTATTTTCTTTCCTCCAAATAATGTAAACTCCCACATATGACACATTTTAGTGAAAACAACAGCAACTACTTCCAGAATTATTGAATTTAGCCATGGGGATGATTTATAAATAATAAATTCCAAAGCATTACTTTAGATCATATTCTATCATAATTGAAATTGCTGTAGAACCAAAAATCTTTGGCTCCACAGCCCAGTGTAGGGCTTGAACTCATGACCTTGAGATCAAATCCTGAGCTGAGATCAAGAGTTGGACACTTAACTGGCTGAACCACCCAGGCACCCCAGAACCAAAAATCTTTAAACTCTAATAAGCAATATAACAATATTCTAATGTCCCAGAATACAGTGAAGTCACTATAATTAGGGGTTGTGCTATGTAACCCCCTCTCCCCAAATCCTACCACATCTTTAAACATTAGACTCTATTCAACAAGACACACACACCATAAGAGAGACTTTGGAACGTAATCAGGTCCAGGGAAAAGCAGATTCATGCCTCCCGTGTGCTCATCATCCCAGGGCATACTCTCATTGAATGAAACTGCCCATGCTGTTTAACAGTTATTGCTACCACCACCTTAACTTTTTTTGCCAACAACCTATTGTTGAACCTATATAAATTAAATACATACATAATGGAACGGACTCCCTTGAGTCCACTGTGGTTAAGATCTGACCTGTGCTGGCAGCAGGGTGGGCATTTCCTCTAACGGTCTTGATCAGCTGTGGAATCCCATTAGAAAGGAAATAGTCTCAGACCCCTGGGAACTCAGTAAGAGTGTTTCCCTCCTTGAGACTCTTAGTAGTTCGGTAAACAATTTCAGAGTAGATTTCCTGAGATTCCCATATTTAGGTATATTCAGAATCTTACTTCACCACCCCGATCAGGAAGAATAGCACTCACTTGGGTAGATTGCCAGAGAGGATTTTCCAGGCATATTCTCGGAGGTACTTCTGGAAAATGGTGGTCAGGGCGATCATTGGCTCCCCAGTACTGAGCTGAGAGCACTGCACCATGCACTTCTTGTAGTAGACAAAGAGGTCAGCACAGCTGGGGAGCACGGCACCCCCTTCGTCAGTGTTGGGCTTAGGTGGCCCCTGGGCTTTGAAATCGGCTACAAACCGGTCAATCAGCTCTCCAAGGTTTCTAGGAGGAAGAAAGCCTGCAACTTTATTTCAAGAAAGATAAAGAAAATGTGCTTACCTGCCATGAGTAAATCATTCCTAATGCTTTTCATATTTAAAAATGGACCACTTCTATCCATACCTTCATTAACTACCACCAGCACTCCTACAATAACAGCAGCAAGAATATCTGGCATTTATTTGTGTGCTGCTTTATACTTCTCAAGGCATTTCACGATCACATCTGACCCCAAGCCTCTGTAAGGGAGATAAGGTATTATTGGATCCTCTAAGAGATGAAAAAATTAAGGTCTAGAAAGTTTGTCACATAATTTAGTGGCACAGCTGAGCCTAGAAGCTACCATTTAAGTGCTTGCACTGTTCCTACTACCATACTAGTACCATCTCCTCTCTCCACAAATGAAAACCCTAAGCGACAAGAGTGATCATTTTCTGAACACTTACGATGTACCGGGGCACGCACTGTGTCAGCACTTTAGAAGTGTCCTTTCACTGAACTTCACTCAATCTTCACAGTAACCTTATGAGGTATGTAGTATTCCTGTCCTCATTTTCAAAAAGCAAGGTGCAGAAAAGTTAAGGACCTTGTCCACAGTCATAGAGCAAGGGAGTAGGGGAGCCAGGATTCAAAATCAAACAGCCTGGCTCAAACCTCATGCTTTTAGCCACTCTACCTTCCTATCTCCGAAAACACAAAAAGGTTATGATGTCAGCAAATATTTTGATATCATTAACCTAAATGTGCCCACGGGACAGATGCTGAAACAGAGAGAAATAGTAGGGAAGTATTCTAATGTTTTCTTTATCCTTTAAGGCATTTTTTTTCCTTAAAACTTCCAGAATCGAAGGTGTAAAAAATCTTGGGAGAAGAGAGGGTGTAGCAGCCCCAGGCTTGCAGCAGGTCATGATGGTGACGATGGCTGCAGCTGTCCCCCCATTCTCCACTGGAACACCACTGAGTGTGCCTCGGTCATACTGAGTCATCACAGCTCGGGGCCAGCAGGGCTCTACTCATTGTTTCCTGCACAGTTGAACTGTGTGAAGAATGGGAGACGTCCCCACCCCTTGACATTTTACATCTTTTTAGGTTACTGTCTAAGGCTACAGGAATCCAGCTGTGCTTTCAAAATGTATTTATATAACAGGAAGAACAAGACAAGAACCACACACAGCATCAATTAGCAGGAATAGGAGAAAACTGACATTTTACTCAAGAGCTTTTCTTACTGAAAGCTGATTATATCCAGATGTAGCCACTCTGCCCTCAAAGAACTTCAGGCCTAGGCTAGGTCCTTGTGGTGATGGTCAGCGAGCAGGGAAAGAGCTCGTTAGTTAACCTTGGAAAGATGCAGGGTCACCACCCCCATTCCTCGCCACCTCTGCCTGCCCCATCTTGCCATTTAATCTCTCATTGCTCCTGCACAGGGACCCTCCACTCCAGCCAGACTCACCTTAACTGCCCCCTGCCCCATCTGTACCCCTGACTCTGGGCCTTCGCCTGTGATGCCTGGATGCCTCCCCTGGCCAAGATGCCCCTCTGCCACCTCTCCAATCATCCGCAGGCTCGGCCAGACAGCTCCTACTCATGCCAACCCTCTGTCTCAATTTCAACTTCTGTCACCTGCAACACACTCACGCTTTATTATTATTATTATTTAACACTTTACTATCCAGTGTAAGGATGTCAAATGTTCAAGAAACAGGACGGCCTTCTCCCATCCTGGGCCCACAGCAGGCGATGCTATCAATAATGGCTCTCTTTTTCACTGATCTTTGGTGTACTTTCAGAATCCTTGAGACAGCATTCTCGCCGTCACTGAGAAGCTAAAGCTGGTACATAAGGGGAAAGGTGCTTGCTACAGTAGAATCTTATTCTCCAATTATATATGTTACCACACGCTCCTTGAGAGTAGGGATAAGGTCTGTTACTTCGGCTCTCCCCAGGCTCACCCCTCACACATATGTGTGAAGCTAATCTTCTATGTCTGTGCCCAAGACATATGCAGCGGATCAGCCCCCACACTTTGTTCCTGAGGGATGGGAACGGAAGGGTGGGTAGGTGGAGATGGGGCAGGGGCTGGTGCAGTGGAGAACATGTAACAGAAAGCAAAAGGTTCCACTTGAGTCTCCTTAGGAGAGATTCTAATTGCCAAATCTCTAGTGCCAACAAAAACAGAGGCCAGGGCCCCAAAGTGTTTTTACTTAACCACTCGTCCAATTCCCCTAGTAGCTGAAGTCAGGATACTTACTCTCCTGCCTCGTATTTCAGAGCCAACCCAATCAATAAGATTATAAATTAATCATGCTCATAGAACATAAAGAAAATTTCCATTTAAAAAAAACCTCTGAAGATCTTCCGTACTTTGCAGGCTGACTCCTAGGTTACCTCTGACACTGTTCTCTGTGCAGATGAGATACACACATCTCAGAGTGAGCTTCCCTCCCTTACAACAAATGCGACTTTTTGCACCTACATGCTGCTACGCCCCACTGGGAAACGAGTGATCAACGTGTCCAATCCCGTCAATTTTCAACTAAGCACTCCATACGTGCAAGGCTCTGGGTGCTACACATGTAAGATATAATGGGTTCAACTAAAACAACAACAAAGGTTGTCCTTTCTTTCAGGTACCGAACACTAGCCCAAGTTCTGGCGAGACCTTCTTGCAAGACGACTAGAGAAAAGAGTGTGTGGCCTATTGACCTGCTGACTGGCGTCATAAGGAGATGTTTTTTACACTATAAAACAATTATGGTCAAGTAAGAATTTATAAAGGGTCAAGCCCTGATCAAGGTGCTGCTGGGTATGGGGGTTAAGACACAGCACTGGCCCATCAGAAGCTCTGGTCTGCTTGGGGAGATAGGACCCTCATGCTCATGATATTTAGATTTCAAAACAGCAACAAAGTGCTAATTTGGCAGTACAGACAATATGAACAATTTCTTCCAGACGAAGGAAACGAGAGAAAATTTTGCGGCAGACTCAGGTGAGGGAATAAAGGCCTGGAGTCGGAAGTGAGCACAGTATAGGGTGTGTGGAAGGGCGGAGGTAAGAAGGAGGGGACTTGGAGAAGTATGACCTACAGTTCGAGTTATACAGTCCTCTGTATTCCCACAGCAAACTACTGGTAGCTTCCTGCCTTCCTGCCTTCCTGCCATCCGCCACAATCTCCCACCTGGCCACAAGCCTATAAACCAGGCACTGCGCCGGGGGCGTTAGAAATACAATCTCCTCACAACAGCCCTGAAGAGAAGGCATTCTTATCTTCATCTTGTAAATGACGAAACTGAGGCTGAGCAAAATAATATAGCTTGCCCTAGGTCACCGAATTCGTCGGAGCTGGAATCTGAACTTGCGGATGTCTGACTCCAAAGCCCAGCTCTAGCCACTGTACCATGCTTTGATTTTACAACACTGAGGTATTGTACAGATAGATGGCATTGCGCTGTGGCTGTGTTCACTTTCTCTGCACCTTAAAGGAACATGTCATGGGTGTGGATGGTATCTTTCACCCCCTCCCCTGTAGCGGGAGCTTTCTGCCCAAGAACTGTATAAGCATGTCAGGGGGCCATGCAAACTATGTCTGGGGGTCCCGTTGATCAATGAAATGACCCAGGAAGAAAGACCACTGCAGAGCAGTCTCAGTAGAGAAATGACCAAGGCAGTTTCTTCTAGTGGATTTGCAGTCGGCATCCCTAGCAACAATATTCTAACCGGAATGGCACAGGGAAAGGAAGATGGCAGTCAGACAAAGCTGGCAAGGAGTTGAGCATGGGCAACGCAGCTGAGAATCCCCAGGAGCTTACAGAGCTTGTTAACTCAAGGGTTCTCAAGCTAATTTGCACCCCTTCCTCCCCTGCCCTTGGGTTGGGGCCGAGGATTTGGCACTGGTGTGGTCAGTGGGGTTGGGGAGCCAAGGTCTGGCTTAAGCACAAGTGGGAGCTGGATTACACACACTGGTAAATGGAGCAAATAAGTAAATACATGGAATATCTGGGGAGCCAAGTTTCTCACTGCTGCAGAACATAGTTAGACGAGGAAAGGGGGAGGAGAAAATAAATCCTGCAGTGTTGGATCAGAACCAGAGTTATCAGCATAAACTCGCAGGTTTTAATATGTAAGTTGGTATAAAAATAGATACAAATGTATGTGTTTATACATATATGTATATACATACATATATTCCTCAGCTCTCTCAGCTGTGAGGACCTAAGAGCATGACATCCAAGCAGTAATGAACATACCTGATGCCCAGAACTTAGTTTCTTTTTTTTTTTTTAAAGATTTTATTTATTTATTTGACACACGGAAAAAGACAGCTAGAGAGGGAACACAAGCAGGGGGAGTGGGAGAGGGAGGAGCAGGCTCCTGGCTGAGCAGGCAGCCCGATGCAGGGCTCGATCCCAGGACCCTGGGATCATGACCTGAGCCGAAGGCAGCCGCTTAACAACTGAGCCACTTAGGCACCCCCAGAACTTAGTTTCTAAATATCATTCCCTGCCAAAGAAACAAGAGAGCCTGGAAAAATGGGTGACTCCAGGGCTGGGGTAGCAAAGTACCAGATGAGGCTGGTATGTTCTGTTGTACCAGAAAGCAAGGGCCCCAGAAATGACAGGCACATGCAAAATGCATGGAAAACCAGCCTGAAGGGGTTCCAGTGGCCAAATCAGGGACAATTTAAACAATAAAATAATGATGGATCCTGAAAGAGGAAAAGGGCATCAGTGGAAAAACCAGTGGGAAATCCAAATAAGGTCTGAGTTTAGTAAATAGAACTGTACCAATGTTAACTTGCTGGTGTGGTAACTGTGCTGTGGTTATGTAAGACGTTAACATCAGGAGAACTGGGGAGAAAGGAATATGGGAAATCTGCGCTATTTCTGAAACTTTTATGTAGGTTTAAATTTATTCCAACATAAACTTAAAAAAAAGGTAGTAACAGCTATAATCCACGAGTACGTGCTGACATAGTAAGTGGGGAAAAGAGAAAGCTTTTTCTTAAACTATAATGCGAACTAATAAACGCAGAAGAAATGCTGGTATTAGAAAAATCCTCATTTGGCAACTATCTTAGTAATAAATGATTCAGACAAGTATCAGCAGGAGGTAAAAGATGAGAAAAAAAACTACTTATATGGTTTCAACGTTTCTCCCAACAGTTATTGTTAGTAATTACTTATTAATAAAGAGAGAAGCCTGGCAGACAAATGAACACCACAAGTTGTAGGGCAAACTGACACTGTCACCTCCTGATGTGAATTACTGAGAAGAGCCTGGCCCTGCTTCTGAATAAATCATAAATCATGAGGAAACATTAGTCAAACCCAGATGGAGGGACATTCCACAAACAAACTGGCCTGTACTCTTCAAAAATTTCAAGGTCATGAAAGATAAGGAAAGAATGAGTTGTTTTTCTGGATTGAAGAGACCAAAGAGACATGACAAGTATATGGACCCTATGGTCCTGGCACAGATCCTGGATTGAGAAAAAACATGACGGGGACCACTGGCGAAATGGAGTGGCATCTATGAATTAAATGGTACTAATGGATCAAGTTAACTTCCTGACGTTGATAGGTGTACTGTGGGTAGGTAGACTGCGTGCTTATTTATAGGAAACACAGACTGAAGTCCTGAGGAGTAATGGGGGCACTCTTGCCTGCAATTTGAAGAAAGTGTCTATGCTGAGAAATCTCTTCTCCAAGAGTCAGCCAGAGAAAAATCACTACATTCCCAAGAGTAAAAGTTATCCAAACTTCCTTCTGAAACATAAACAAAAATTGAGAAAGCCGCTTAAAGCATACAAGGACAGCTCAGCCGACTCTGCTAAGGAGATGGCTTTGGGGATATCCCTACTTCCTTCCTCCTCCCTAGGTCCCGGCTCTGCAGTCCTACTGCTGTTTGGCTTTTGGCTGGCTCAGGTGCTGCCAGAACTTTCCCTGGGTAGGTGGGAGGCTGGCGGACCCCATGCCAGGCCCAACAGAAAGCTGGCAATACTGATCAGGCCACCCAACCACTGACGAGTCTGGGACAAGGGCACCGGGCGGGCAGGGCAGGCACAGCTCCTGACCACTCGTGCCAAGTGCCAACATGTCCTCTTATCTCATCCTCGCCACTAACTGCACTGGAGAGAGGACAAAACCAACTCTGAGAGGTTGAGTACCATGCTTGAGGTCCCAGGCTAGTGACTGCAGAACTCAGACTCAAATCCAGGTCTGTCTGGCATCCAGGCCCACGCTCTTTCCACTACACTGTGTTGGGTCTCTGTCATCTGGGAGCTTGTGAATGGCCTAAGATTTTCCTCCCTTGCAGATCTTTGAGTCAGAGCTACAAGAATGAAATACATACAAAATCAGTCCCCCACCTGAGTTTCTTCCCTTAGGAGTCTTGGATAAAAGGGAGGAAGGGTTTTGTAGAACCCCTTGAAATTGCACTCAAGATAGTGTGTGGGTTTATGTGAATTTTTTTTTTTTTTTTTTTTTTTTTTGCAAGAAGAGTCTACAGTTTCATTGGGCTCTCAAAGGGATCTATGACTCAAAAAAGGTTAATAGCCACCGCTTTAGGCATTATTTTGTCTGATTCTCTGCTTTAAAAGATGAGGAAATGGATTTCTTGGACTCTATTTTCTACTTCAAGCCTTTGCTGCTTATTCTGGAGCGACAACAGCACAACCTACGCAATTCTCCTATGAGTAGCTTCTGCTACTTCCCCGGTGCTGTGGAAACATCCTAGTGAGGCCAAGTGGAAGGATGAGTGGCCAGCACTTCATTTTTCATAGAGAAATGGAGAGTCCCTAAGGAAGGGAGGTCTGGCTCTCTGCCCGAAGCATCATGAACAATGAGTACACTTTATATGAATCAAGGCCATGTGAAAAGAGTAGATACCAGAATTATGATAATTCAGAAAAATGACTCTCTAGACCAGGTAGGTTTGGGGAAAGTACATGGTTATCTCAGATATGCACTTTAAACTCTGGATCCAACAGCTTTTAAACCTTTCTAAAAATAAGAATTTGGGTTGATGAGGGAAGAACAGGCTTTGTCCAAAAACAGTCATCCAGGTGGGCTGCTCAAGACCTGTGTAATCTCATAGATAAATAACAGATCTTTTACTTGCTCCTCCAGGCGTCTTTATTAACTTCCTGATAAATAATTTTTTTAAAGATTTTATTTATTTATTTGAGAGACAGAGAGAGAACGCATGATGGGGAAGGGGGGCGGGGGAGAGAGTGAGAGAGTGAGAAGCAGACTCCTTGCCAAGCAGGAAGCCCAACTCAGGGCTTGATCCCAGGACCTGGAGATCATGACCTGAGCCTAAGGGAGTCGCTTAACCAACTGAGCTGCCCAGGCGCCCCAAAGAACTTTTTCACACAGAAGACAGGGTGTTCCAAAGGAGCAAACAGCAATAAGTAATTACTGCCTTTCTGTGAACCTTCGGATATAAGCCCAACGGATAAACAGGAGGAGAGGTGAACTGGCTTTACAAGGCAAAACATGAAAGCAACTCTTCTTTGGGGGAGGATGGTGGGCAGGAGGTTTTGTTTTTTAAAAGATTTTATTTTATTTGACAGAAAGAGACACAGCGAGAGAGGGAACACAAGCAGGGGGAGTGGGAGAGGGAGAAGCAGGCTTCCCACGGAGCAGGGAGCCAGATGCGGGGCTCGGTCCCAGGACCCTGGGATCATGACCTGAGCCGAAGGCAGACACCTAATGACTGAGCCACCCAGGCGCCTCAGGAGGTTGTTTTTATTAACATGGAAGCTCTTCTACAAAGTTCATTTTCTATGACTTTACTATGAAACATTTTGTGATTGGGGACAAAAAGAGTAGATACAATCTACAAAATAAAATAGGAGAATAATAATAATGTTCCATGTAGTGATTCCACTTGAAACAGTCTCTTAATCTTATGGTTTCTCTCTGAAACATATTTGGAAACAAGAATTTGCTAATCCACAAAGAAGCATTACAAAAAAAAAAAAAAAAAAAAGGACTAAATTTCAGCACCTAAATGCTTTCCCAGAGAACTCCCTTAGAGAACTTTCTCACAGCCACTACTGCGCTCCCTGCCTGAGCCACTGTCTGTCTGGTCCTCCCAAGTGCATTCTTCAGGCTACAAGGCCTCATCTCAGAGCTGGGGCCAGTCTGTCTCCAGAAACCTGACCTTTCCAAAATCTGCCTTCCAGTGTGGAAAGGCCTCCACCAGTTCCTGTGGCTGGGGACAGAGGTTCAGGGATGAGGAGGGGTCTTCCTCCTTTGCATGAATAACGGACATTGGAATTTGAAGATACTCCTCTGACCGTGAGAAACTTGGCTGCAGTGGGCTGCTTTGTGAAAATTTTCAGAACTCCTGAGTTTGTAAAAAGTATATATGTTAAATGGTTGATAATTTAAAAGAAAATTTTATTTTCTTTTTCTTCTATTTCCATAAAAGAAAGCAAGAATCCACCAGTCCATACTGATAGAAATACACACCCACACGGGGGAGAGGAAGTGCTTCCTTACAGAAGAACTCCAATTAACAATAGAGCAGAAAATGATGGAAACAGAAAATCAACATTTGGCAAACACTACAGTAGTAACTGCTTTGGGCAGAAATCATCAAGGATGTCAAAATGAGTGGGAAAAGTGTGAGGAGAAACAGGATATTCACATAGTCCCAAGTATCCTCCCACGAGATACTTATTAATTACAAAAAGAAAAACAGCAGCTTCACAGCAGAGAAAGCTAGCAGGCACCACCTTAAGCAAGTGATCAACGTTAACATCACCAGTAATGGGACACAGCCACATGATGTGCCTCCTGATATGACGTACCCAGAGGGACACAACATCACCTGCATGGTATACTTGCCCGCAACACATAATCTGGATTTAATCAAGAGCAAACATCAGACAAACTGAAACTGAGGGCACTGTAGAAAATAACTTGTCAGTACTGAAGGTCATGAGAGACAAACAGAAGACTGGGCAAGTATTAAAGGTTAAGGGAGACTAAAGAGACCTGACAACCAAAGGCATGGTGGGATTTTGGGCCAGAAAGTGGACATTCATGGGACATTCAAGGGACAATGTTACCCTCCTGATTTTGATAACTGTGATTATGCATAAAATGGTAGCATTCTCTGGGGGAAAGATCTATGAGAATTTTCTGTAACTTTTTTGTAAGTCTAAATTATTTCAAAATGAAAACCTAAACAAATTATATTTGAAAACATGTATATTAGAGATTAGGCTTTCTTTCTCCATTTTCCAGTGCCTGACATGGTCAAGCCTGTGTAGCTATGTAAGAAGAGTTCAGTGCCCACATAGGAAGGGGTTGTTGGGATCCATTTGGGACCTTATTAGAGTCAAACTCAGGCTTCTACGATTTATGGATACAATGAATGATAACATTCACAAGATACAAAAATAACCCTAGAAGGTTTCCAGGGAGGGTCACAGGAGGCCTGCCAAGTCTCTCCCTCAGCTTCTGGAAGGAGTTGTGCCCTTGTGAGGCCCAACCATGACCAAAGGAAGGAGAAATGCAGTAGAAAACAGCAAAACATTCATTACTCACTTGTCCTGGGACTCAATATACACATAGAGATGAGGCTCGAAACACTTGGAAACAATGCCATGAAATGGATTGTCTGGGGCTTTCGGCTTCTTTGGCTGTAAAGGGGGGAAAAAAGCTACGCTTTAGCTATCTTTGCAAGTTTTCAAGCAGTTTCAAAGAATACATCCCTTCAAAGTTTACTCCTGATGTAGATGAGAAGCACTCAATGTAACTGAATTGGGGCTGTGTCTTGCATTATGATTCACGCCAGTTTGTGAACAATAATGAGCCATCACTGACTTGCCCGGGATGGTGAAAGATTTACTGCTACTCTGATAACACATGTGCTTTCAATTTGGAAGCTATTCTTTTTTTTTTTAAAAGATTTTATTTATTCATTTGAGACAGAGAGATACACAGAGAGAGAGCATGAGCAGGGGAGAGGGAGAAGCAGGCTCCCCGCCAAGCCAGGAGCCAGACGTGGGGCTCGATCCCAGGACCCTGGGATCATGACCTGAGCCAAAGGCAGATGCTTAACAATCTGAGCCACCCAGGCGCCCCTAGAAGCTATTCATCATCAGACTGATGTTTTAAAGTGTTGAATCCTAGCTAGTAACAGTACCTTATTTATATTTGTACAGTGCTTTAGAATTTATAAAGTGCTTTCATGGGATCTATTTTTGACAGCCTCCATTTAGCAATTGTTTTTATGGACCAAGCACTTTAACATGAAATAACATCTCATCTATTCCTCACAACAACCCTTGGTGTAGGAATTATTACTACTATTTCACACCTAGAGAAAGGAAGCCTCAGAGGCTTTTAGCAGCCTGCCCAAAGGCACACGGTGAAGTTTCCTATCTCCTGAACTAGAACTCTTTCTACTATAGCACTGCTTTGCCGTGATGGTTCCCAGACTGTTGAATTGCACTGACGAGTAAATGCAAGAAAAAGAACGGTAAAGGACCAACATCGCCTTGCTAACTTTTTGTTTTGCCACTTTCCATTCTCACGAGTCCCTAAGAGTATTTTACACCCAAACATTTTATCGGGAGAAAATAGCAGCATGAGGGCAGTCCTTCCTATGAAAAGACAGTTGGTGACCTTATACCAGATAGATAGATATATAGATAGACAGACAGACAGATAGGCAGGCAGGCGGGCTGTTTTGTCTTTATTGTTTGCCTTGGACCATTGTAAAACAGGGCCAGCACTGGTCCTCAGCTGATACCCAAAAACTGCTGATATACAGGACATCTAGGTAGGCAAGCATTTAAAAACTCTATTTGCTTCCTAATTTCTTTTCCAAAATATCTAAAAACTAAGCAAAGATCCGCCTACATATCTCTTTCTATTTCTAAAAAAAGTCAATTCTATTTATCGTCAAATGCCAACAAAAGGATCCTGAGCCCTTGCTGGGGTTTATACTAGAGTACAATTTGGGCCTAAATTGATACCCACAGCATACTTGCTGGATTGAACTGTTCATATCTTTTAATAAATATAGGAAAAACTAAGTCCCTAATGACAAACAGAATAATGATTCCCTTCTCCTAGTAACTTTTAAAAATAAAACACTGTAATGGTTAAAAGCATCTGTAAAATATGGAAATGAACACCAAAAATTAAATGTCAACCTTAGACATATCCCCTTCAATCTCCTGTTTAGCTCTCTCCCCTCATCACCTTCGGAGAGTTCCATGTCTTTAAGTTTTTTTGCAAGATTTTTAGAAACTCTGGTCTAAAATAATTACAATCAGGCTATTTTCCTTATCATTCAGAAGCTACCGCCAAAGTCAGGTCTGAGGCTGAGCCCCCAAGAGACTCCCCAGCCTGGGTTCACTGAGTTTGATTTGGCTGGATCTAAAGTTCCACTTCATTTCACAGATACCCTGGGAGTTTCTCCCACACTCCCACCAGTTTAAAATGGTGGATCCATGATGTAGTAAAATGGCTGTGTAGGGGTGGTCCTTACCCAATTGTTCTATATTTTCTGAATCAGTTATCTATTTTTTTATTATTTCATTCTTTTCAATAAGGTGATTGTTAAATGAATAGACAAATGTGATTTGTCTAACTTATATAAGACCAGATATCCTGATTTTAGAATCGAAAACTATAGCCACAATACCCAGATATCTTTTTATTAATAAAATATAGTCATCGTAAGGATTATAATTATCCCCTTTATTTATATTTTCTTCTTGTGCCAAAAATATTCACATGTCTACAGGATAGCTTCTGGTAATTATAAATTGGGAGTTTATATAATACAGAATGTTGTCATGTTTTAAATCAACATATTTTAAATCAAGTATTTTGTATTTGGCTTTGTTTACCAATTTATGTGCAATTTTCCAATTACTGACATTGTTTTAGTTTATCACTTTAGAATGGCTACATTATGAAATTTAAGCTCTATAAATTAGATAGTAGTACTGTACTGATACTACATTTTCTGATTTTGATCTGTGGTAATTTAAGTGAATGGCTTTCCTGTTAGGAAATACATACAGAAATATTTAGAGGTAAAGGACATGATATATGCTAACTTACAAACTATTCCAAAAGAGAGAGAGAGAGAGAGAGAGAGAGAGGGAGAGCGAAGACAGGGCGAGAGAGAGGGAGAGGAGGAATGGGGGTGGAAAAAAAGGAAATGGTAAAGTAAATGTAGCAAAATGTTAACAACTGGTAAACCCAGGTGAAAGATATTTGAGAGTTCTTGTAATATTCTTAAAACTCTTCTCTAATTTAGGTATTTTCTTTTAAAAAAGTAAAAAATAACAACAAAAAGCTTGGGAGATGGGTGCCAACGGCCTGGCAGATAACCCCAGAGACAACTGTGGAGCCCTTAAGCAAGGGCACGTCACCAACACTTTGGAAAGCCCGGAGGGCAGCAGTGTGGGAAAACACGGGCATTTGTGCTTGAGTAAAACAGGGCTTAGCATCAATTTCACGGTTTTAAGACCACACTATAGTTATGGTAGCTGTCACCACTGGGGGAAGCTGGGAGATGGGTACACGGGACCTCTCTGTACTCTGCAACTACTTATGAGTTTATAATTATTTCAAAACACAAAGTTTTTTCTAAAAAGTGGTACAGGAAAGTTGGACCCTGAACGTGAAGTGATTTTAGGGATATCTTAACCTATTTATTCTGCTACTATTTTCCTTTTTACGTATGTGCAAGGGTGATATACAATAAAAATCTGGGCCTACAGAAGTCTGAGGAGCTCATTCAGAATATATGTAAGAGACAGATTCTAAGTGATAAAAGAAAACAGCTCCATGCTGTTCCAATGAAGTCATCTCGGCCAGTCTTCCCCAGACCGTGTGCTTGATGAGGCCCCGCAGAGCACTCTGAACTTGGCACCCAGATAGCTGCATCATCAGACAGTGTGGGTGTCCCAGCCCTACAGGCAGGTGACCACTCCGCCCTGCCTCTGCCCACTAATGCCACTCCTGGCAGTGAGGGGACACCCTACACCACAGCTCCAGGTCCCTTGCAGCGCTTTTTGTGTGAGCTGGAAGCAAAAGGGGAACAATGGGAGGGACTGCCCAAAGTTTCCTTTTTGCTTTTTTCCCCACAGGGCTGCCTCCAGCTTATAGCTGCTTGGTGACTCTGTTCCTATTTAGATAAGAGGTGCTGGAATTTCAGCTCACACTGGCGTCTCCCTGTGCACTGTCTGGCTCCCCAAAGGGTTGAGTCTCTGCTGAAAGAACATCCAAAGGCATTTAGCAGTAGCATTTGGGCTGCCTGTCTGAGTGTGTGAATTCTATCCAAGAGCCGCAGATGTTTCAGTTATTTCCTCCCGAGTTTGAGGGAATAATAGAAGGTTACTGTTGTCACAGTAAGGAGCTCTGCAGCTGGCCCCATTTCCTTTTATTACCATCCAATGTAAACAGATTAAATCTAACTGCTTGGATCACCAGAAGGGTACATTTTTTAACCAGAAATTCCTTATTTCTTCTCCCTTTCTCTTCGAGCACCCTCAGTCCCCTTTCAGATGCCATTTTTTCATCACTGGGAGTGTGTTGGCAACTGGTGGCTCAAACTAAATACCTTTTTTCAAGTTCACACTCCTTTCTCAACAGCCTACGCTGCAGGAGTGAGCAGGGAGGGACCCTGCCCTTGAGGGCCAACTGTCTACTTACTGCAGTGACACAATGGGTTGGGTAACCCCAGACGACCGCTGGGGGCCTTCCCCCACACCTCTGGCTCAGCTCACCCCTAGCTTCCTGTGGACTTCCTCCCTAAGGCCCCACGGGGCTCCTGCGCTTCCTGTAAACCCAACTCCAGAAGCCAGTAAGTGGCCAGGAAGAGGGAGATCCTGGAGCTGCCCCCTAATGGACCACAAGCAAGACAAGTGCTGGGGAGGCTGGGGATGGTGTCCAGGTGTCATTGCTAATAAGTAACAACCCACGAAACTGCAGGTAGGTCATCTAGTCCAGGGGTTTTTGATATTTTTTTTTCAACAGATCTCAAACCCTTGGCTCGAAAGAAATTTTACCTGGATTCCATGATAAAAGTGACTCAGAACAGAACTGCTCTGTTTGGAGGGAGTCAGAGCCCTGGTCTCCTCCCAACACCCCACAGAGACATGTGATGGGGCACCAAGGAATATAGTTTGAAAACCACGGGCTTTGTCTAAAGATGAAAACATGAGGCAAGTCTAGAGAGAGTAAAAACCTACTACGTGGTCAGTTAATGGCAGACCAGAGTCTGCCTCTGCTTTACCCCCTGTATCTGTGCTCTGTGTCCTTAGAATGAGCAGTCTTGGCCCTTACAACAATAACCTCTAGCTTCCAGGATGAGCAAAAAGTTCCATGAGAGAGACAAATCATATTTTATCTAGTAAACACAATTTGTAGTAATAGGGGCCTCTATTATAATCCAGTTTAATGATATCCAGAGATAACTAGCTGAAGGGCTAACTTTTCATGCCAGCACAAGGACAATGACAGCCACTGGCACTGGGAAGACACAAGGCCCCGAACACGGTACTACAACCCAAAGCAAGCTCAAAGGGTGCAGGTGATGGAGTGTGGGTGGAAGACACACCAGAAGAACGAGCTCTACATCCAGATTCCTTCCTTTCCCTTCCTCCCCAAATGCAAGATGCATTTCTTTAGTTAGAAGAAATCTTTTGTTATCTCCCACACTAGCTGGTATGATGGCTTTAAATCAATTATAGCTAATCCCACAGATCTCTGGGATATAGCCATAAGGCATCCTTCCAGTTTTATCCATTCACCTGTATTCATGGGGTTCGTTTCTGTGACCTCCTCTATTCACTGAGACAGCCCGGTGTAGTACAAGAGCTCCATGGTGGGAATTCTAGTCTCTTGACTTCTAGACCTTGCTTCCAGTCCTAGCTCGTCCATGCCCAAATTCTGTAACCCTGGGCAAATCACTCAACCTCTCTGAGCTGCACACACTGTAGCTCATATAAAATCCCTATAAGATGAGAGGCAGGCATTGGGAAGACGAAATGAAATAAAGCACATAAAAGACTTTGAAATTATAAAGCCCATAAAAACGTGAGGTATCCATGTTATTACAATTATTTAATCAGTGGAGCAGACACATTTTACTGCAACACTTCAGAACTGCTCCTGGAAATGATTGTACACCTACCCTCTCCGTGTGAGGAATACAGGCAAGTTCATGGCTATGGGGTTCCCAGGCTGGTCTTCCCGGCCAGCCTCCCTTTCAGTGGTGTCTGGAGCAAAACAACACTATAAAATAACCCTCGAGCAGCCAAGTGTAGAAAATTAAAAAGAAGGATCACTAATCCAGACAGGAAAAGGCCTGATTTATTGCTCTAACCACTCTGTCATAAAATGGCAATGAAACAAAAACACCATTCTATAGGATGAAGGGAGAGGAAATTTAGAGTTGGACAGAAAATCCGAAGGAAATGAAAGTGCTAGTGTGCTCTGAAAAGTAACTCTCCAAATATGCCAGTGGTCACCTTGATGTTTCCAGGCCTCCCCGATGCCTTCCAGACCTCAAGTGCTCAGCTTGCACTGAGTGGAGGCCTCTCCTAGCTGATGGTGCTGAGAATTCCACCAGGGATCCTCGAGCCTCTCTCATGTCGTCACCGGCCAGATGAGAACCCAACCGAGAGTTAGGCTGGCAGGTGCAGGAGATGATGAATGAGGCGGGCAGGGTTCTGCCGCCGCACTGCATGGACCAATTAAGCTTGTGCGGGTTGCTCGTTCCAGCAGGGAAACTCTTTGGGAACAGAGGTGGGCAGGAAAGGCTGCTTTCTCACTCTGTTTTCAAAATGCACCTTCAGATAAGGGCTTTCTATAAAGACCACCGGAGCTGTAATCTCTGAACGTGCTCAATGGTCAAAGGGCCACTTGTGGAGGGGGAAGACCCATTTTCAGAAGCAAACGTTAGGTAGGAGGCACGTGGAAAGGCAACCTGGACTTACCTGATCTAAATCTCCTTTCTCCATCGCCAGTTCCTCCATCTCTGGTGCTGGCTCATCTTCCAGGAAGGGATTGGTGGATGGGGGTGGAGACTCGAGTTTTTTCTGTTAAGAAGACGTGAGAAAGAGATAAGTATTTTCTGAGCATATTCTCAATACCTTTCCCCATTGATCTGCTTTTTCCGAGTCTCTGCAACCCCTAAATCATGAAATCTAAATCTGATATAATGAGCAAGGACTGAGACAGCACGGACAACATTCTTACCTCCCAGCCTTCATACTATTTCCCATCTTCCTAAAACCTATTGCCCACCCCCCCCCCCCCCAATTCCAGTCTGGCTAAAACTCTCATTCATCCTTCAGCCCTCAAATTAGAAGTCTCTTCTTCTGGGAAGCCTTCCCCATCTCTTAAGTTTGGGACAGATGTCCCTGCTACATGTTTCCATCCCACCCAGTATGTCCACCTACCCAGGTATTTATTAAAATATCACAACTGTCCATTTATTTGTCTTGTCCCCATTAGATTCCATGATGGCAAGGGATCATGCCTGTCTTGTTCCCCTTCCTATATCTGGGTGCCTGGAATTTCCTAGGTGCTCCCTAAATATGAATCAATCAAAACGCTGGATGGGTTGGAATTCAAGAACAAACTATAAAGCTAATCTTATGTGTTCTAGATTATAGACAGAAGTCTCTTTCCAAATAAGTCTCATTACAACAAACACAACAGAATCTCCTCGGGAAAGATTAGTTCTCAGGACCTGATTTTGACCACTCTGTTAACACATGTCATTGAGTGGGACCACAGGCTGGAATGAGAAAGCTGGGGGCAGGAGGTGTGGGTTTTAGCTCCAGTTCCACAGCGCTGGCCAATTGCCTAACTTCTCCTGGCCAGAGCAGCCTCATCTGTTGCATAAGGTTGCAGTTACAGGACTACCAGAAGGATCAGATGTGATAAAGGGTGCGGAAAAAAAAAAAGGGGTGTGAAAGGCAGCAAGGAGCACATTACACGTATAAGGGACACTGGTGATGATAATTCAGTGCAGCAACAGAATCGAGGCAGCTCTTGGGAATTTTTTGTACAAATTTGGCCCCAAGATGTTGTTTATGCCAGGGAGCTAAAAGAAAATTAAGTGGACAAGGAGGAGAAAAGGGATTGGCTGGTGCTGGGGATGAGGGGAAGGGTCAAGAAATGGCTCTTTGCAATGTCCACAATAGCCAAACTATGGAAAGAGCAAAGATGTCCATCAACAGATGAATGGATAAAGAAGAGGTGGTGTGTGTATACACACACACACACACACACACACACACACACA